TGGCCAACAGATCCTAACCGCAATCCCGATCTCCTAGATTTTTTCATCCACAAAGGTCTAGGGTCCCTTAATTATTGCATCTCAAGACTTGATGATCTCTCCTCAGACCATAGTCCCCTAATCCTAACGGTTTCCACATCACCGATTCCCAAACCTCCTCCACCTTCATTTATCAGGGGGCCAGTTAATTGGAACCTCTTCCGTCAATTGCTGGATGATAATATTGACCTCAGAGTTTCCTTAAAAACACCTACAGACCTAGATGAAGCAGTACATTCCATGACTACGTTGATCCAACAAGCAGTTTGGACTGCATCTTCACCTGATCCTTCTAAAAAATACCGCAAAACAAATCCTCTACCCTAAGACCTACTGGACCTTATTAATAGAAAACGATGCTCTAGGGCTATCTGGCAAAGAACCAGGCATCCTGATGATCGGAAATCATATAACTACTATTCCAAGCAAGTAAAACAAAAACTGACCACGTTTAGATCCCAATCCTATAATTCCTATCTTTCCTCACTATCTGCAAGTGATAACTCCATCTGGAATGTAACTAAAAAAATCCTTAAATTCCAATCCATTTCCCACCCCCTCCGCCGTGATGATGGTTCCTGGGCTTCGTCAGATGAGAATAGAGCAGAAGAGTTTGCTAAACATCTATCGTACACATTCACTCCTCATCCTGAACTCCATCCCTCCCATACTGCTGAAGTTAAAGAGTTCCTCTCTTCACCGATTCCTCTCTCCTTACCTCCTACAGCCGTCAACCCCTCTGAGGTCAAATTCCTTTTAAAGAACCTAAAACCTCGCAAATCTCCAGGACACGATCTCCTTACTTCCCAGATCCTCAGACAACTTCCCAAAAAAGCAATTATATTCCTTACATACCTATTCAACTGTATTCTTCGCACAACCCACTTTCCTCTGATGTGGAAACACTCCATAATTATCCTCTTTCCTAAACCAGGTAAACCTGTTAATTATACATCATCCTATAGACCGATAAGCCTACTTCCGATCCTTTCCAAAATCTTTGAGAAAATCCTTCTCAAACGCATCCTACCCATACTCGAATCCCACAATATCCCTCCCCATCAGTTTGGATTCCGCTCAAGACACTCCACTGTCCAACAAGGCCTTCGCGTTGTCGACCACATATCCTCTGCACTTGAAAACAAGCAATATTGCACTGGTGCCTTTCTGGACGTAGCTCAAGCTTTCGACCGGGTGTGGCACGATGGCTTGCTTTTCAAACTCAAAACCCATTTACCTCAACCCTTGTACCTAGTCCTCAAATCCTACCTTTCAAATCGCTCCTTTCAAGTCCGCTGCGGCACTGAACTCTCCAAACATTATCCAATTGAGGCTGGTGTTCCACAAGGCAGTGTCTTGGGCCCAGTTCTCTACATCCTTTTCACCGCTGACATCCCTTCAAGTCCTGATACCTTCCTAGCAACATTTGCTGATGATACTGCCATCCTATCCTCTCACTCGGATCCTCTAATAGCGTCTCAGAACCTGCAAAGACACCTTTCCTTCATTGAGCAGTGGTGCAACAACTGGCGCATCAAAATTAATGAATCAAAATGCAAGCATGTAACTTTCACTCTTCGACGCAGATCCTGTCCACCAATCCTTTTTAATTCAATTCCTCTTCCCCACTCAGACACAGTCCGATACCTTGGCTTCCTTTTGGACAAAAGACTGACTTGGAACCCACATACCAGACTTAAAAGACAAGAGCTTAACCGACGATTTGGTCAGCTATATAGACTACTAAACAGAACATCTCATCTCTCAACAGAAAACAAATTATTAATCTACAAGACCATACTGAAACCTATCTGGACCTACGGACTTGAACTGTGGGGGACAACTAAATCATCGAATATCAAACGCATCCAATCCTTCCAGTCCAAAGTCCTTCGAACAATAGTCAATGCTCCATATTATGTCACGAACAAGACCCTACACCATGACCTTAACATCCCATATGTCCATGACATCATCCCATCCAGATTCTCCAACTTTCACCAGAACCTCATTCATCATCCCAATCCTCTAGCGCAATCCCTATCCAGCTCCGAACATCCATACCATCCCCCTCGAAGGTTGAAACGGCAGTGGCCTCGAGATCTTTTGTAAATATGCCTTTGGAGTCCTGGCAATGGCCAGCTTCTCCACTCATGTCCTGAGCGTCTGTGGCTGTAGTGCCCTCTTTCAGTCTCCATTGGCTTCTAATACTAGTGATGCGGCTGGAAAAGTGGCGCTGGGATCTCCCGGAGTCTTGCTTCGCCTTCCACGTATGGAAGAAAAAGCCTGGCTCGGAGATTCTTGGGCGAATGTATATATTGTATATAGGTATGATTGTGTTTAGAAATTTTTATTTTATTTTATTTTTATTTAACTTCTTCACCAGTATTATTTATTTACTTATTATATTTATATTTATTTCTTTATTATTTGTATATATTGTATGAATGAGAACTTGTAGCCCTAATGCTTATAGCCCTCCAGCAGTGGCTGATTGTATTATTATTCAATAAACAGATTAATAAAAAAAAAAAAAAAAAAAAAAAAGACATTAAAACGTTTCTTATTTCAAATTGGTTCTGTTCTTGTTTCATAATTATTTGATATTTAAAAAAAATTAAGTTATAAAAAAATTGTTATTAAATTTTGTATAAAAAATCAAGTTTTAAACAAAAATGTGAGTTCGAAAAAGTTACATAAACAAAATACTGTCATTTTATATTAAAACAAATTTACTGAAGGTTCTTCTTTTCCATCCCGTAAAACATTATTTCCCGTTTATCCAACGTATAGTCATTATATCTTTAAAAAAATTTCAGGAGAGGGAGGTCCACTCCCCGACAAAATAAAAAGCCTAAGGAAAAACAAAATATCACCCACCTACCCAAACATATTACCATTTTATCTTTAAAAAAAAATTGGAGGGGGGAAGCAGGTTAACCCGCCAAAAAAAAAATTAGGGAAGGCTGGCGGAAGCCTGTTTTTGTAGCCCAAGTTATTTAAGGACTATAGAACATATTATTAATAATAATAAAAAAAAATAAAACAAAGTATCACCACCCTAATCAAATATATTGCCAAGAGTGGCACCGGAAATTTGGTATCGTCCAGAACTTCTCAAAATCCATATAATATTTCTTAATATAGCTTTTACACATGCAATCATATTGACTGTTTCAATAATATTGAAGCTTCAATAAAAAAAAAATTGATATCAACCAATTTGATTGACGTCAATATAATTGATGCCAATGTAGCCTTTACACGATCAATATATCCAAGAAACTCGATATAAACCGTGTAAGGGGCCTTTAACAGAGTTTAAATACCTAATCTTTAAAATATATTTTTCTAAAGTACCTGTAATTTTCTTTATTTGAAATAATTAACCATTTCACATTGGTAACTAATATAAAAAAAATGGTTAAATATAATGAATGAAGATAATTGATTAGTAACTAAAGGATAAATGAAGGTTGGGAGCTATACGGAAACAGCAGAGGGCGTCCGAACTTAGCGAATCCTCTCACTTTGCAGATATCTGATACCCCTTTCTTTGCACAGGGCTTTCATATTGTTAGTTTAAATTTTATATATAACTTTTTTTTTTAAGTTTTCAAATTTCGGCGATTTACTAATATAAACCTAATAGATAATATTTAATAACCTTAAAGTTATTTTTCAATGAGTTTCATGTTAAATGTTTCCGATAACACCCAGAATTTTCTATACAATCATTCCTATTTTTTGATACTATACACAGTTGTAAAAGGAAATGGAAAGTGTGGCAAACCTATAAATTTAACATATTCGATGGAGGGAGGAGGGAAACATGGTAACTAATTCTTTTAGAGGAAGTTGTAGTACATTTCACTTTGGCTTCCCTAGATATAACACATATCTACTCTAACCTTGGTAAATAAAAGTTGTGTGGTGTGCGGACTGCACCTGATTTCCAACCATCCAGGGACACATCTTGCATTTAGATGCCAACTTCATAGATACCAGGTACCCTCAGTTAAGTTAGATGGATAACTTAACTCACTTAAGCATTAAAGCTGACCACATTCCCTCCTTGTTTGGAAAATATTCAAGAACTAAGAATTTTTTCAAATCACTTAATTCAGATGTATGCCTTTTCTTAAAGTAATATCCCTCTCGAAAAACTCAAACCTTATATTGGAAAATACGTTACAACTATACAAGAACTGGATGATTTTAAGTTGGCATGAAAACTGAGTCCAACAAAAATGAAAATGTTGAGTATTAATTAAATTATATACAAATGTTTAAAATATATTAAATTAATTTTAATAGCAAGAATATATTAATTTCTTAATTCAAATATTGGCTTAATGAACAATTAAAAAAAAATCTTTTCAGCTATTAAAATAATGAAAAAATCATGGAAAACTTAAAGGACAGCTGTTTAAAACTGAAAAAATGTTTACAATTTTTTCACTAAAAATATCTGATGAAATTAGTAAAGAAACTATCTATCTATTATGAAATGGAGTGAAGCACAGGTATCTACTCGACATAAATATCTTAAAATTAAAATAATGCTTTTATGACTTGAAAAACCTTATGCACGAATGAACCAAGCCAGAAATGAATAACTGTTCAATGACTTTTAGCTGACACTATCATTACATTCAATGAATATAAAAAATATTTTTTTAAATGTTATAGAGTGCTACCAATGGGTAGATTCTCTACAAGTCGTTTCCATGCCATTGTATTTCACTGTATTACATTACTGGATGTATATTTATTTTTATACAGTTGTAAATTTCATAAACAATAATGTTAAAAAAAATGTGATAACCATAACTCTTTTAGGGATTTTATTCATAAATAATCAATAATTTTTCAAAAATAAGATTATTCATTCCCCTCATGAATGAAAAATCTGAATTAAATTCAATACTGAAATTCAGGTACGCACAAAAAAAATATAACAGTACATAATAAGAAAATGTTGTATTTGCACTTACAATAAATGAATCGAACAATAAATATTAATAATGAAGCAAAATAAACGATAGAATCTTCAGTTAACTAAAGCGGAAATTGATAAAAAAAAATTTAGTTGTTAAGAAAGTAAAAAATAATACCATAGTTAATAACTTTTAGTTAATTCTTATCCTTTTAAAGATGACATTCCAGCTCTCATAACTTCATCAACAAGGAGCAGATTACTTGCTACAATGACACTTGAAGCTATGTACTGTTTTTTTACAGAATAGTTGTCAAGGATTCCTAAATCAGTAGGGATCATCGACTTGCCAGTTTGAAGATCCAATCCGATTGAATCATTCTCCTTTGCATCATAATCAAGTTGTGTAATTACTTCTTGAGTGTTGAATCCACTATTCATTGCGAGGGTTTTGGGAATAACCAGGAGTGCATCACAGAAGGCCTCAATTCCAACACGATACTTTTCCTTAGTTTTCTCAGCAACTTTTTTCAATTCATGGCGTAATTTTAATTCTACTGCTCCTCCGCCTGGAAGTACACCACCATCTTCAACTGCATTTTTGACAGCTCTCAAACCATCCCGAAGAGCATCTTGAATTTGAGTAATGGCATATGAAGTCGGGCCATGAACAAGTACAGTGACGCTATGAGGGTTTGGGCAATCAGACACAAATGTATACTTAGTTTCTCCAAGAACATGCTCATAAACGAGACCTGCTCGTCCAAGACAATCTTCAGTGAGATCATCAAGGCTATTCATCGCTACTCCACCACAAGCTAAAGTTAGTCTCTCCATATTTCTTCTTTTGGCTCGCCTGAGAGCCATTATTCCTTCTCTAGCTAGCATATCCAAAGAGACAGGATCAATACCTTTCTGATTAATGACAACAAATCCTTTGTCTGTTCCATCACATACAGATTTCTTCAAAGCAATAATTTTTGCAACTCTTAACTCAATGAACTCTCTTTCGGATGCGACCAGTTTCTCTCTTTCCTGTGCTGATTTATAGAAAAACCCACTATTTATCTCTGTTTTCTCAAATTCAAGACTTACGTTACACGTTAGAATATAAGCATTGGTTAGTTTCTTGGGCATATTAGGGTGGCGTGAACCATGATCTAAGACAAGCCCTCTAACTAATCTGGTTTCAGATTCAAGACGGCTCTGCATTGTCATAATTTCAATCATGTGTAAATCTAGGGGTTTATCAGGGAGTTTGATAGCTTGCACAGCTTCAACACAAATCTGGGTTAATACCTCGGCTACTTTAGACTCTACCTTTGTATTAAGAGCTGTTCTAGCAACAGCAATAAGAGTTTCCTTATCATCAAGACTAACTGTTTTCTTCATACTATCCAAAACTTCCATGGCGTGTTTACAAGCAACAGTGAAACCTTCAGTAATTAACCTAGGATGCACACCTTCAATAATATAATTGTCGGCTTTCTTTAATAATTCAGCAATAAGTAAGACTGTGGAGGTAGTTCCATCACCGGTAATGTCATCCATAGCTGTAGAAGTTCTGGCAATAAGAGAAGCTGTAGGATGCTGTATTTGCATTTCCTTCAGCAAAACATTACCGTCTTTAGTAATTTTAATGTCACCAGCACCTGAAACTAACATTTTCATGGTACCTCGTGGACCGAGATTTGTCTTCATGACGTCTTGTAAACCTTTAGCTGCACTCTGGTTCATAGACAAAGCTTCTGTTTTTCTCACAACTTCGGCTTTCGGATTCAATAAAGTAATTGCCGCCATCGTAAATAATAGTTATACTATAATCAGAAAAAACAAACAGTTGTGCGATAAACGCCTACAGATAAACTACTATAACCTCTGCACAATGTGTCTTGTATATCCCGTTCCTGCTGAGTCTTGGATGTTTTTTTTTTTTAAAGCTTATTCAGCACAACAGATGGTTTTTATTTATTTAATGAAAATAAATTTAATTTTTGTTTCTTTTATTAATGGTTTAGTAATGAGTTTTAATTTTGTTTTACATTTCATCTAAATTGGTTGAAATATATTTGTCACTTCAAGACAAACATTGTATAATGCATTTTATTTTTATTTTCAAACAATCTAATATTAATTAAACACCAGATAATATAATTTTTGTTTCCTTGATGTAGGAAACATTTGTCTGTAATAGATGAATAAGGCTCTGGCCGCTACGTGTGCCAGTATTATGTGCTGTTGTAAGCTACGTGTAAGGGGAAGAGGTTGTCATTAATATTCTTTTTACTTTCCAGCCAGCATTAGTCGTGTAAGTTACCACAAGACTGGCTTTCTATCGAGAACTGTAAGGATTTAACCCTGGACCAGTGACTTAGGACTCGCACAATGGCTAGTATGTATATTTAGCTTACTTTTTAACCCAACTAATACATGTTAAGTACCATTATTAAGCTTTTGACAGTATATCATTGATTTCACTATACTGTTACTATTAAGAATCACTTATGCCATAAATTCATTTTCATCCATAAGGTTTTAAAGCTCTAAATTTAGTATTTTAAGTAAGATTTAACTACTCAATTCAAGATTCACAGAATTGATTTGCTACTATTTTGGTTTTCCTAGTAAATTCTGATGTATTGAATTTGTTTTTAAGATTATTGCACATCATTCTTGAGTCCTAACATTTAATTTATTTGATATGACATTTGAAATCTGTCACTCACTTTATTTACGTAATGTACTGTATATGTTGTTAATATAGATGGTACATGATTTTAGTACTAAATTTTTCATACCACTCATCCATGATTTTTAAAATTTTTTTTAGTCAAGTTTTTGGAAGTAATAAAACCATTCTGCAGTATATTGCCTGAGATAGCGAAACCTGAACGAAAGGTAAATTACCTTCTAATATCAATTTTCAAAGTCATTTATTTTGAGTTTCAATGCCTTATTGTATATTTGTTGACCAGATCCAGTTTAGGGAGAAAGTATTATGGACTGCCATCACACTTTTCATCTTTTTGGTCTGTTGTCAAGTAAGTTACTTCATGCTATTATTATCTTAACAGCTTTTATTTTTACTTAGTAAGTAAAATCATCATATGTTATTACAGTTACTTTGTATATAATGTAATTATTTTTCGGTTCATGGAAAGCGTAATTTGTATCTTTTTAACTTTTTTTGAATCATTCATGATTTCTGTCATTGATATTTATTTTATATTGAATATGTCAGAATTATTTTTGATTTTCTGAGACATGCCTGTACTTCTTATTTTACATGTTACTATTCTTATATATATGATCAATTGTAATTTTTAAAATTATTTAATTCATTAGTACTCATTTGTCTTATGTTATAAGTTTTTATGAATCATTATTTTTTGTTTCAGTATCTAAAATAGTATAAGATCTGTTTTTCATTTTATTTTCCATTTTTTAAAATTATTATGCAGATAGCTTGTCAAAAATCGACTAGAAATGATCTGTCAATATCTTAGCTTAGTCTTCAAGAACTTGTCTTCAGTGGTTAGATGAATCCTTGAGTGATGGTTTAATGTTCTTTTTAAAGATATTTAAAAAAAATATTAGACACTGCTTTACAATATAGATATTTCCTTATATAATAAACCCTTTAGTCATCCACTAGTATTACTTAGAAGCTTTATGGTGTACCAGTCTATAATTATTTTTGAAATAAATTAATACATTTTTTAAATTTATTTTTGTTAATACTTCTGTTATATTAAAAAAATTGTAAGTTTTACAAAATATGTTTCTCCACGTCTTAGCAAAACTTGTAATGTTTATCTTGTTTTGAATTACTATTTGTGCAATTATTTCTATCCACAAACATAATAAAGTAACTATGATTCTGCATTACTCGTCCTTTTTTTGGCTTGATAGGAATATTTATTAATTTAGACAACATGAATTATTTAACTTAAAACTATCAATAAATAATTATTTGGAAAACCTTCACTATTATTTTTCAAATAAAAGTTTTGAAAAATTATGTTATTAGCTTATAAAGTACTTTTTTCAACTTTGCCACAGACACTTCCAAATTGGTCATTTTAATAAAATTATTCGAATCATTCAATATTACTATTATCCAATGTTCAGGAATCATGAACAAAAAATTGGCTTGTCATGTTAAATAACCTCTGTAGTTATCTTATCCCTCCATTTTTACCTACATAGTTACATTTTGATTTCTTAATTTTTCTGATAATAATTTAAAAAATTTAGAAATTATTGTCATTTTTTATTCTCTAAGCATATCTTTCTTCATTGGGATTTATTTATAATTTTTTCTTTGATTCAAAAAGTACTTCAAGTCAATCCATTCATTATTATGCTGTTGGCATTCTTCAGTATTGTATTGATAGTTTCAATGTGTATATTGAAAGTTGTTTATTTTAGCTGTTCTCGGTCATTATTGATATGAGATGTGGACACAATACAGGTGCTCTTTATTGTATCAATAGCATATGTTTTATTGAACTTTGTGAAATAATGGATACTTGCAATTTCTGAAATTAATTAAATTGAATAAAAAATTGTCTTTATATTTATTTAGATAATAATTAATGAAGTTATTAAGTAAACCATCAATTTAAAATTAAAAGTTGTTACAAGACATAATGATTAACATTAAAGGTGGACTGCTGATAAGGAATTTCTTTTTAAGTTGATATTTTCTCTTAATACGTGTTACATCTGATATCTATGTCAAACAGATCAAATATAAAAATAGTATGTTCCTTAAATCAAGCCAAATATTAATAAGTTGTAAGTGTTAAGCAGTTTAAGTATTTGCTCTATTTAACTGATACTTATCTGATAAACCAATTTTGACTCATCCCATAAGAGTATTGGCCTTATTAGAGATACTAAAATTGTTTAGACTCTAAGTGTATCACAGATATTCCCTAAAAATCACTTAAGAAATAAAACAAACTCTGGCCAAGGACTCATCATTTCATTAATTAAGTCAAACCTAAAAGATAATTGATAAAAATGAGAAGAATCGTACTTGATGTAATGAATTTTGAACTATATAATTCAACATAAATTAAAGCATTTGCAAGTAAAATAGATTACCAAATGTTTATGTAAAGTAAATTTAATTCGCAGTGCAAGCAATTTTATTACTAAAAATTTTCAAGAAATACCTGGATATTTCTTAATAGGAATTTTGTAAATAGTGATTACATGCTTAGGTCCTTGTACACCTTCAATTTGCTTTAAAAAAGTATATAAGAATCACATACTGTTATCCAGCTACATATATAAACGATATTTTCATTATTATTATTTCTATTTTTTATTCTCGCTTTGTGGGGTGAGAGACCAGAAGTCCAACCACCTTCATATTATTATTTATTATTTTTTTAGATGTTTAAAAATTTTCTGACAATACATTCTGTGTCTAAGAGAACTGAGTGTTGAGCCTCTTTCAGTACATCAAGAGGTAATTTTACACCAATCTTGCCTGCCTCTGTTAACTTTGGTATCAGTCCATTGGATGATATTATAATTGGAGTGGTGGTTATGCTCCCCAAATGATATTATTCCTTCAATTCCATAGTCAGTATTCTGATATTTTCTCCAACAGTGAAGCTTATATTATTATCATTGGAGATCCCAACATCAATAAGCTCTGCTTTTTTTTTTCTCTGATATCTATCTTAAGGATATCTGTTTTATTATGACACACAGTATGGTCAGTAATGATGGATTCATCCCAATACAGATTGTGACCACCTTTTTGGAGGAGTCTATTTGGGTGGAGTTTATAACACTATGGATTTTTATCATCTACTAAGTTGAGCTTCACTGCCAGAGCCTGGTTATTATTATTATTTCATTATTTGCAATGATTATTTTTTCAAATGTATATAAATTATTTATTTACTAGTAGGAATTTCTTATCCTTCTGCCTTAAAAAAAAAAATATTATATAGGCGTTCCAACGAGGGTTGCCTTTCACGTCAGAGCTGAGCTCCAGAGGTCGCGGTCAAGCCAATCCTGAAGACTCCAGCCAGCCATCTCCTCTTCTACTTCATGTATCCATCTTTTCCTGAGTCGTCCTCGCCTCTGTCTTCCCAGTGGTTGCAAATCTAGGATTCGGTTAGGCCATCGCTCGGTAGACATTCCTCTTACATGGCTGTACCATACCAGTCTTTGCTGTCCAATTGTCACACAAAAAAAATAAATCCATAATATATATTGGAACTTCAACTTCATATGAAGTTACTAAATATATAGTATTAATCCTAGGAGTTGAGTGCTAAATGAAACTCACAGTTTTGGCTATGTCTAAAGATTATAATTGCTTGCATTATAGTCCAGTAAATTCATTTAATTATATGTTAAATAAAATGTTGGTATTAAATAATGAGGTAATAATTGCTTTTGATTTCATTGTCAGCACCTAATACATGGGAGCAAACTTTTTAACAAAATGTCAAATTAAAAATACTTTCTACAAATTATTTTTATCAGTTCCACTCTTTAATCTAAATTTTTTATCCACTATCTTATTTTTTTTACTTGCTGTTTTTAATATTTTGAACAATCTCTTAATTTCATATTTTTTTTTCTTTGAAATGTAATATCAAATTATGTATTTACATTTATTATTAACTTTATTTAGATGTTTCTTTTATTACCCTGTAAGTATTTTCAGAAACCTTAATATTGAATACTATTACAATTAAATGTTTATCAATGTATAGAATATCCTTATTTTCATAGAAATTTAAATTAGTGAAGTACTGCTAGACACATGGACCTAAAAAAGTATTAGGTAATGCTGACCTTTGATATTTAAGTAAAATTTACCAATCATAGGGAATGAATCATATCTCTTTTCTTTTCTAGTTATCTTCTATTTTCTTTGTATATATATATATATAATGTATATATGTATATATATATATAAATTTGATTTTATTTAGTGATTCTGCCCTACTTTAAATATAACCTCAATGTGTCATTTGTATAGAATGCTCATGAGTGTTTTTTATTATTATTTTTTTTTTTTAGATTCCTCTATTCGGAATTATGAGTTCAGACTCAGCAGATCCCTTTTATTGGATTCGTGTGATTCTTGCCTCAAACAGAGGTACTCTCATGGAACTTGGAATATCCCCAATCGTTACATCAGGCCTCATTATGCAATTACTAGCTGGAGCAAAGATAATAGAAGTTGGTGACACGCCTAAAGACAGGGCTCTTTTCAATGGAGCTCAGAAATGTGAGTAATTGTAAAACTTATCAATATTTTTACTTATAATTTGAATATTTGGAAAAAAAAACATGAAATTGATCTGGTTACTATGGAGACCAGATCAGAATTGTCCTTTTATATGCACTATCTTATATATTATAAGATTTCTTTTGTGAGATTTCAAGATTTCAAAGGTTTCTTTTGTGAGTACACCACTTCATTAAATATTCATCAAATTCAATCGTAAAGCCATCATGTATTAGATTTTTCTTAAGTTGTGAAAAATGAGTATCACCCCAGAAAAGTTATTAAGGCCAGAAGAAAAGTTATAAAGAAAAAGAAACTTTATTAGCACATAACTCAAAAAATATACAAGTTATGGATACAGCCAATTATATATTTATGTTACAATTATATATTTCTTTGTTTTAAATAAACCAAAAGTTATAAAGAAAAAGAAACTTTATTAGCACATAACTCAAAAAATATACAAGTTATGGATACAGCCAATTATATATTTATGTTACAATTATATATTTCTTTTTTTTAAAGAAACCATTGGAATTGACGAAGGAAGAAAAAATTAATTTCTCTTGTAAAACGTTATTTACTTATTTCCATATTACATTTCATTGGTTAACTGTTCAATATTCTACATGAATGATTCATCCAGGCCAGCTAATTATTTATTAGTTTTTATATTTGTAAATGTTTTGGTGTTTTTCAAAATTATTAAAACAACTCTTGTGGTACAATAAGGTACTGTAAGTAAAAATAGTTTTTAAAAAGTTCTAGCATTGACAAGAGGATAATAAACAATAAAGAAAAACAAAGTATGCATTAAATGGTACTATCATTATTGGGATAAAATACTTTAATTGACAATTATTTAATATTTATAATTTTTTACTTGGATCCATTGGCTTCTGATCCCTTCATTTTTCTTCAATTATAATTTTCTCTAATATATTTAATACTTTATTGAAATGTACAATTCCAAATCCAATTCCTAAACTGTTAATAAAAAAAATTAAATATGGATTTGAATTCTAAACTTATTTATGTATATATATATATATATATATTTTATATTTTTTCAGTGTTTGGAATGGTTATTACTGTTGGACAAGCGATCGTTTATGTAATGACTGGCATGTATGGAGACCCAGCTGAAATTGGAGCAGGTATTTGCTTGCTTATCATCGTTCAGCTGTTTGTAGCTGGCCTTATAGTTCTTTTACTTGACGAACTTCTGCAGAAGGGCTATGGTCTTGGGTCAGGAATATCTTTATTCATTGCTACAAACATCTGTGAAACTATTGTTTGGAAAGCATTTTCTCCAGCTACTGTCAACACTGGTATGCGAAAATAGCAATTGTTTTGGATAAATACTCATTGATATTAGTTAGTTAATAAGTAAATTGTATAATGTACTTATGCATCATTATAAACAGGTAGGGGAACTGAATTTGAAGGTGCTGTCATTGCATTATTCCATCTCCTGGCAACAAGGCAAGACAAAGTCCGTGCTTTGCGTGAAGCTTTCTATAGACAAAATCTTCCAAATTTAATGAACTTACTGGCTACCATCCTTGTGTTTGCCATAGTGATTTATTTCCAGGTAGATATCTGTTTGGTTTTATTATAAGTTAAGCATGCTACTTATATTTATAACTATGAACTTTTGCTATGAGTTAAAAAACCAAAGATATATATTTTTTTTGTTATACCTGTTTACGTATAAGATTTTTGCAGAAAGTTCATATAAAAATAAAAAACAAAATTCATTGTTCACTCCAGATCACATCATAAATGGAAACTTCTATATTGATATCTTTAGATGTGCCTAAGTTTGTTTAAGTCAGGTTCCAACAAGTTTGGTTTCAGAAGGAGAGAGAGGGGGGTTTTTCATGCATTACAATACCTGTACACAATTCGCTAATTGTGTATTTTAATGTGGTTAGCATGATGAAACATTTTCTCTTATTCATCTGGTTTGGCATCACTTTTTCTTGTTTCCCAAATACAAAATGGTGCTTTGTGATGACAGAGAACTTTCAAGCAGCCTTGCATTAGTGAAAATGGAAATAGAGCAAGAGTATTATGTCTCAGGTGGACTTCTTTTAAAGGGGAAAATATTAAATTAAATGTAACACATTTTTTTTTTTTTTTACTTTTATATGAACCTTCCAGACAATCCTCTTATTTATCATGAAATTATTTAGAAAATAATTATTTCAGATTATCCAAGTATCTTAACAAATTTTTATTTTGTTTCATTTGTATGTATATAAATCAATTTTACAGGGATTCAGGGTAGATCTTCCTATTAAGTCAGCTCGTTATCGAGGTCAATACAGCAGCTATCCTATCAAGCTCTTCTACACTTCAAACATTCCTATTATTCTTCAGTCAGCTCTTGTATCAAATCTATATGTTATATCTCAGGTTAGGAAACATGTATATTTTATATTCATCATTCATAAAGATAAAAAAAACATTATGTTACATTGACATGCTTCTTACCCCTCGTCTATTATCAAACCATGACCTATTTACTTTATTTTCAGATGTTAGCTGTGAAATTCCATGGAAATGTGTTTGTTAACATGCTTGGAGTGTGGGCAGATGTTGGAGGTGGTGGTCCAGCCCGAGCTTATCCAGTCGGCGGTCTTTGTTATTATCTATCGCCTCCTGAAAATCTTGGTCATATACTTGAAGATCCTATCCATGCTATGTTATACATCATTTTCATGCTTGGTTCTTGTGCTTTCTTCTCCAAGACTTGGATTGAGGTTTCTGGATCATCGGCAAAAGATGTAAGTCTTTCTTCATTTCTTACATTATTGATCTATAGTTCTGTTTTTTACACGAATAATATTGTAATTTTTTTATAAGCTTGATTTAGTTGGTAAAATCTAGTTTTAATAATATCCATATTTATCAAGCGGTCACTCATAAACTGTTTGCACATAGTTGGTTATTGCACGGTTGGATATCTGATGAACGAAATTAGTTATTTAGAATAATTTTTGTCAGAGTATTAAAATTATTTCATACTCATAATTATTAATAGTCATCAAAATTGATAGTAAGCTGCCACGATTGCTTCAAAATACATTTTATTAAGGGCAGTTGGTACTAAGTGATATTAATTAAAATGATCAAAAATATAATACCTAATTAAATTAAAGAAAATGTCAGTTTTTGTGGTATCATTAATAAAGTTGAATAAAGAATGAATACAAGATGTGGCTATTATAGAACGATATGCTGTAAAATATTTTATTTTGATTTTATACATATTTACTTGTATCAGAAGAAGACTTCTAGAATTGTTTCAGACAGTGCTTTTCATCATAATTATAGAACATTCCGTTCTTTAAAACTCATAAAATATAAAATTCAAAAAGTGGAATCCAGTTAGTAAAATATATTTTTTTAAATCCCTTACATTGTAAGTCTGTGAAGTTCTGTTTTCATTAGAAATATTAACATATTGATAAAACAAATAGAAATTTAAAACTAAACATGGCCTTTTATGAATAATTTCAATGAATAATATCTTATATTGCTCTTAAAATGTTGTATGAGAAGTCTAAAAACAAATGTATAAAGGTTTCCAAAAATTCAATAAATGCTTAACTGGAGTGGTGATGTGGCTTAGCAGGCCAATGTATCGTGTAAAACATTTGTTGTCTGGTAATCTGATAAAATGAAGGCCTATAAAAGGAAAGGGAAGAAAAAAAAAATACTAAACAGAGTAATTAAATGGCCTATGAGTATCGGCACGAAAAAGTGACAAACTTGCCCTAATCCTGCAGCTTGTCAACGTTTGAATTTATTTAACTTCTCTGACCTCAACAAGTTATTTTTAGTTTGTGAACAGATATGTTGAATAATTTCTTGCTAGCCTATGTATAAGTAATTTTATTATTTTTCTTCAATAATTATTTTATGCTGTTTGATTACAGGTTGCAAAGCAACTTAAGGAACAGCAAATGGTAATGCGAGGTCATCGTGACAATTCCATGATCCATGAACTGAACAGGTACATTCCAACTGCAGCAGCGTTTGGGGGTCTTTGTATTGGTGCCCTGTCAGTCCTAGCTGACTTTATGGGAGCAATTGGCTCAGGAACTGGTATCCTCCTTGCCGTTACCATTATCTACCAGTACTTTGAAATATTTGTGAAGGAGCAGAGTGAGACTGGTGGCATGAGTACTCTTCTCTTCTAAACAAATGCAATAAAATATAGAATTCAAAAAAGTTCACACTTGTCTCTCCTGTATGTAACGTGCAATTTAGATTGGAGACGTGTGTGAATTTAATTTGTACAAATTAATTTATTTATAAATTGAATTGTAAATATGTTTCCAGCTCTTTCAAATTTTTCTGCATTTTTTTTTTTATATACATCTTTTTTTCCTTTTTTTTTTTTGTTCTGTTTAATTACTAGATAAAGTATTTTTCTACTTTGTTGTAGATACAATTTTCAGATATTTTTTAAATATTCTAAATTTTATTTATATATATAAATATATAGTCATTAAGTCTTTTGTTCTCTTATTAAATTTCTTTTTTTTATTTTTTATCGTGGGTCATGCATTAATAAAATCTGAAAACTAATGCCCTATCCAAGTTAGTTTTTAAGAAATGAACTTTTTTCATAAAGTATTTGTGACCCAATTCCTAAATGTATATCTCGATTTTCTGAGTGTATTAAAGGTTTGCGCTTGGCCGTTAGACATACTCTCAATTTGTTTTTGTTGTTTTGTTTTTTAAAGATGAGATTACTATTATTAGTGGTAATGTTTACTTAGTAGACATGTAATTTTGTCAATAAAGAAATTTGTAATTTTTTATGTTATATTTCAATAAAAAAAAATACGACATATTAAATGAGAATTTCTTATGGATTGAATTGGTTTGCATATTATTTATTTAATGATGTTATACCTATTTATGTTTCCTATTCGTTTTTTTGGTCATCTGGATCAGTGGTCTATTATGATTAAGAAACACTAACTACAAATGTATAAAAAAATTCCATTAAAAAAGTTTGTAAAGCAACTTGAGGAACCACAAATCAAATGGTAATGTGGTCATCATGACAGTTTCATGATTCATGAACTAATTAGGTACATCACAAATACATTGGACTTAAAAGATTGACATTGATGCACTGTCAGTAGTACTAAACAATTTTATGGAGACAGCTAGCTCATGAAATAGTATCCTTGCTATTACTATTATCTTCCAGTACTTTTTTTGTATAATAAAATTGTATGTATTTTGTACAAATCTCAAAAGAGTGAAGTATTGAAAGGTTTTAGAGAAAAATTTTCCACATGGTAAAAGGGGAGAGATCTGTGATACGAGTACTAGTGCATGAAGGAGAAAGACTAATAAAGAGCTGCTTATAGGAACTGGTGCAGGGAAATGGTAGGTAGGCGGGGTAGGCTTTTAGGCTGAAGTCCCCAAAATGGTAAGTAAAATATAACCATGCCTTATGAAAAAAATATCTCTAAAAGTATTATTGATGGTGGGATTACATTTAGTAGAACTTCAAGAATTACTTCAACATTATTTCATATAGGTAATTCGGATATTTCTTCTTCCAAAGTAATAATCATATCTATAAAAACTTTTGGACTGAAGGTCCCCCACCCCAAATTAAATCCTGGATCTGCTGATGGAAACTGGTCAGTCAAAATTTCATGATATGAAAACAAAAGTTGGGGGGAGGGAGGGAGCACAGCCTGGAGTAATCCATCAAAAAGCTACACAAGGATGTCTGAATAATAGACAAGATACTTGGAAGACCAATAATCAGCTGGTTAGATTACACCAACTAAGTTGCAAGATAGCTGGAAAGAAATATAACAACTTTCGGTTTTCTTTTGAATGAGATCTTCAAGTTTTTCCCAGGGAAACCTTCCATTCTTCATGTCTATTTATATTATTTAAATATTCTTAATATTTGAGAATTTCTTCTCTGTTGACAAGAATTATTGCTGTAAGCTGGCTCAAAAATAAAGGATATGCCCTCTCGAATCTTAGGAGAATTGGATAATTACAAATTATTTGAGGATCAGACAGACTTATTGTACAAAAATTAACAAATATGAGTATAACTTCCACAGAGCTAAACGTGCTGCTTCTATTAAAACAAGGGAAATATTATTGCTGCAATTAAAGCTAGAATTGTGTATGACGAAAAACAGGTCTGCTTTCTATTCGCGGGAAGTATAAATAATTTTGTGGTCAAAATCCTAAATTGTCACTCACGTTTTATGTTTACGAAATCAAGGAATAAATTTGATCCTGTCTTCTCTTAAGTCAAATCTATTGTGACTGTCATATCACCTACTATTGTTTATTCGATTTTCTTACAATTGTTAAGAGATACAGGTTGACACCAAGATTGTTTCATATCAATTAAAGGCTGGCTCTGTTTGGGGCTCGCCTAAAATCTGAATTATGTATAAGTGGTTTCCAGGGATTTAAATCTATAATAAACTAACAAAATAATTATTTTGGGGGCTGAACATATCATGGTACTAGAAACCAGATATGGACATATTTATATTCAAAAATATAAATACGAATACAATACCCTTTATACACTGAAAGGCAAAAAATTCCACCCACTTGATTTTTTCATCTAAAAATAGTTCTGCTTTGGAATGGTCTATTGTTTTTAATGAATAAATAGGTAATCTTTTTGTTTGTTTTCAATTAGGAATGTTAATATAGAGGACAATAACCCTTAATCTTTAATTCAATGAAATGATTCTAGATTCCAATGTTTACTTTCTATGGAATCAAAATGTTTATTCAGTATCATTAGCTCAGTGCCGTTTCTTGCAGCACATTTCTTAGTCTCCAGCTTTTAATTTTTTCAATATTAAGTTTAAAAATGCCTCTTAGTGCTGAGGATGTTGGGCATGGTGTGGCACTTATTGATGATGGACGTTCCATTAGATATGCAGCTAATGCCATCGGAGTTCCATTTGAAACTTTACGAGACGCCGTCAGGCGTTTTCGGGAAACTGGTTCTTACAATAGAAGGCCCGGTTCTGGACGGCCTAGGGCAACAGAACCTAGGGATGACCGGTTTTTAACTTTGAGAATTTTACGAAACCGGCACCTTACCGTTGTTCAAGCGATACATCAGCTCGAAGAAGTTCGAGGTGTGCAAATGTCTGAACGTACCGCTCGGAGAAGATTAAATGAGTATGGATTAATGGCTTTTCACCTAGTAAGAGGATCAGTGTTGACCAGAACTCACAGAGTAACACGGCTGGCTTAACATTAATTGGCATTCTTAATTGAAAACAAACAAAAAGATTACCTATTTATTCATTAAAAACAATAGACCAATCCAAAGCAGAAATATTTTTAGATGAAAAAATGTAGTGGGTGGAATTTTTTGCCTATCAGTGTATTTATGGTACAAATGAATATGTTCGTATTCATAAAAAGTAATATGAATACAGAAGATACGTATTCACAACTGTATATATAAATACGGCAGTATTCACGTTTACTAAAATGAATAGCCTTAAATTTACAGAGGTGAATGGAAATATTTCCACACAACTTTATTTATGAATACTCTTATTTAAAAAAAAGTATTTATTTTAAAAATATATTTACTATATATATCATTTTATTTTTATATATAGTATTCTATTCTACTTTTTAAAATATGTTATTTTAATTATCATTCGTAATTTGTGTACGTAATATAAATTCCCAAGCCATTGTATTTACATTTGTAAAAGTGAATATGGCAGTATTCAAGTTTATTACAATGAATACGCTTAAATTTACAGAAGTGAATGCAGATATTTTTACACAATCTTATTTAATAAAAAAAATATATTTATTAAATTGTTTATATAAAAAAAATATATTTTCTATATATCCCATTTTATATTTATTTACAGTATTATATTATCTGTTTTACAATATATTATGTTAATTATTACTCGGAATGTTTGTACGTAATATAAATTCTCAAGCACTTTTTGTTTATTGGGTCCAGAAGGTGGGGCCTCTCCCGTACCAGAATGGAAAGCCTACGTATATGATTCTAGACGTACAGACTTTTCGGTGCACTGTTTACTTATTGGCTGCTAATGGTAATAAAGATAAGTTTACTGGACGGCCAGGGTAGGTACAACAGTCTGGAAATTCCATCGGGGAATAGGTGTACACGACAGACTTAAGTTGAAGCAATGAAAAGGGCAAGAACTGTCAAATTTGGATAGTGACCTTTCCGGACCTGTCGTTCAGTGAGTAATGTGTGAATATATATATATAATAATGTGTGTGATGCCCAAAGAATATAATACTATATATAAAAATAAAACGGTATGTATAGTAATTTTTTTGTAAATAAATAATTTAATAAATACATTTTTTTTAAATAAATAAGAGTATTCATTAATAATATTGTGTGAAAATATTTGCATTCACTTCTGTAAATTTAAGCCTGTTCATTTTAAAATGAATTTCTAAAATACTACCGCATTCACTTTTACTAGTGTAATTACAAAGGTTCGAGAATTTATATTACGTACAAACATTACGAGTGATAATTAACATAATATAATACATTGTAACATAATTAACATAACATATTGTAAAAGGAAGAATATAATACTATATATAAAAATAAAATGATATATATATTTTTTTTAAATAAATAATTTAATAAATACATTTTTTTTTAATAAATAAGAGTATACATTAATAAGGTTTTGTGAAAATATTTCCATTAACTTCTGTAACTTTAAGATTATTCATTTCAGTAAACGTGAATACTGCCGTATTCACTTTTACAGGTGTAAATACAGCTGTAATCACTTTTACAATCGTGAATACGGCCGTATTTATATTTACAGCCGTGAATACGTATCTTGTGTATTCATATTACCTTCTATAAATATGAATATATTCATATTTATATTCATTTGTACCATAAATATAAATGGTATTCGTATTTATATTTTTTAATATAAATATGCCCATCTCTGCTAGAAACAAAATAACGATCTTCGAGGTTTCTAAGAAGGGACCGCTCAATCATTTTATGGCGCTAAAAAAGTTTAAAATACTTAAGTTTGGGCTGAATTGGATGGTCCTCAAAAATATGCGAAGAAAAACGAATAATTATTATTTTGGCCAAGCATACAAAGGTGCTAGATAAATCATAAATAATGATCCTCGGTACTTCAGTGAGAGCTCCCAATTATTCCACAGTGATGAAAGTACATCGATAAACAATACTTATAGAGTCTATTAGTGCAGTCAATTAATCCCCAAAAAGGGGGTGTAGAGAGCGTGAGTAGGTATCTAAGCGATTCCTTCAAAAACTTGTTTAGTTTTGGCTAAAAACTTGTTTGAACATATTAAAAGTCCAGACGTGCAGGTGGTGAGAAGGAGAGGAAAGGTCACAATTATTTTATTTTCGCTTAATCTCGAAAATGTTACATCCCAGGGGACATTTTTCGTACAGTAAATTAAACTTTATAAAATTATTCTATAGGTTTTAGTAGAATTCTAAACCGTTTTCGAGCTATACGCTCAGAAAAAGATGACATTTCCGAAAAAAATAATTTTTCAGCAAACATTTCTTCATATCGTCTAACATATTCATCAGAGAAAGAAATTATTTTAAAATAAGTTGTAGGGACTTAAGATATATTTATACATTCATTAATCTCCATCCAATCTACAGTTACAGCTATTTTAATATTTTTCGTTAAATTTGTAATTTTCAGAAAAGGTTGTTTTTACCATATTCTTGATCCACAACTTTAGTTAGCGTGTGTAATAATATCTGTGGCCAAAATTTATTATGTTCTTGCAACTATTCATTAATCAAAAGCCAATGGTACCACAAAAAAAAGTGAACGCACCGTCCCAAAATGGCGTTCAATATGGCGGATTAGCAATTTTGACAAGTGTTAGTATTTCGGTCACTGATATTCACCTTTTGGTTTAATTTCGTCATAGTTGGCCTTTTGTTAAATCTGAATAGTCAGATAATAGTAAAGCGTGTAAAAATATTATAAAATAATTGCTTTAGGCAGTCAAAACACTGGTAAAGTCAATTTATTCAATTCGTTCTGACCAATATTGATAATCAAGCGCCGTTTGTAAATAAACGGACACAATAACGAAAAATGCTTAGAGATAAAACATCTGGAAAATACATTTATCTTTCAAATTCTGTGATTAATTTTTAAAATATTTGAATCAGTTTCCGAGAAAATGAACATAATCGGCCTGAAAAAGCGGTTCTTCTGTAAGCGCCTACTGTTTTCTTCTTCAGTGCTCATTAATGGGATAATTAGCATAACATTTGTTGATGTGTCTAATAATGTGTGTAGACACACTTTAAATCCAGTTATTAAATTAAGAAAAAAATAATAAAAGATCGTATTAATTAAAATTTTCAAGTTGTCAATCCGCCATTTTGGGGTAGTGTGTTCACTTTTTCTGTGGGACCATTGTCTTTTTTTAAATAAATAGTTACAAGAATCACAACGATATGAAATTTATAGGGATGTGTACGGTAGGGGGGTCTGGCCCACCGTTTACCCCAACTGAGTGTGAAGATTGAGGTTGTTGTTGATGTAGGGCTTGACATATATCGGTTGAATTCTTACCTCTAAGTAGTTGTCAGAATGATACATTATTGTTTACAATTCTAGAAGTCTCTCTCTCTTTTCTTGGTCTTAGTGTTTCATCTTGAATCCTATTTTTCTGGTGTCTGGTTTTGAGATTCTTGTAAATATGGCAACCTTTGTAGTTGGGCGGGTGTCCCTCCAAGCACAGGGCACAAACAGCAATATCTTGTATAGGTTTGATGCACTCCACAGGTTTGTAATGTTCGCCGCACTTCACGCAACGCGGTAGATGGTAACAATATGTCTTCGTGTGGCCGTATGTCTGACAATTATGGCACTGCACGATTTCTTTCTTGGAGATTGGTTTCTCAACTTTCACCATTGTGTTGTATATTCTTGTGTATCATAATTTTTTCGATACCTGGTGATGGCTCCAAGTCAACGAAAAACAATGGTAGTGGGATCCTATTTCGTAATCCTGCCTGCTCTCTGTCCTCCTTCAAAACATTTGTTACCTGGCGTACATTGAAACCAAGCGTCGTTAGTTCTTCTTTAATCACTTCAGTTGGGGTTGAGGAGTGTAAATTTTTTATCACCACTCGTAACGTCTATCCTGCCTCAGCTGGTACATGTGAAAATTCGCATTTTTTTCTGATAAGTATTTCACTATTTTTCGGTAGGCTTCAGCAGAATCTAGTGTTATTTTGGTGCCAGGTCCTGTTAAGTCATGAATAACTGCCAGAACAGATTTTATTTAATTGGGTGCAGAACAACTGGAAATTTTTCACAAATATCGGAGAAGGCCTTGGTTCTCTGGGTATTGCTGCAGACTTCATTACTTCTCGGTCATTTTGAAGCACTTGGTAGGGGTTTGGAGTAAAGATAGGGGATTCTTCGATCATTTCTTGTGAAGATGTACCTGGTTGGGGCTGAGGTTCTGGTTTTGAAGTGTTCACTTTGGTCTCTGGAGATGTTTCTCATAGGCAGTGACGAATTCTTTGTTTGGCTGTGTACACCACGAGGTGTACTAACGCAGTCTGACCGAGTCCTCTTGGGCACGTTACTGGCCATCACTTGCTGATAATACCGCATATCATAAGAGAAATAGAAAAAAAATTAAAAAGAAAAAAAAGATATCAAACAGTAAATATCAACTGTTCTGATGTACACTTGAACTGTATTAAGTGAATAATCAGAGATTCCGCTGAAAAATAGGCAAAAACTGAAAGACGAGAATACAACCTTCGCATCACCTGATCCCTCTACTGTTCTAGAATCCTTAAAAGTATCTTCAAGATATATCAACAATTGTGGTATGGTAGTAAAATTATTAGTTAATAATATAGTTTTAACAGGTTTAACCTATACTGAATTTTACACAATAATCTACTATGATTAAGTGGGGCTTCAATATTTAATGAATCACATACAAAGTTATGGAAACAAACTATGCTGAATTGACATTCTGAGCAGCCTCCCTCTCCCACAAAATCCTAGGCTAGTCAGATCTGTAGTAGTAGTACTTAGCATAAGTACATTGTTCATTGTTCTTTATGTTCATTGTTTGATTTGATTTCTCAATAAAGTTTTTTTTTTCACTTTTCAACGGTTGAGTTTCGTAATTCAGTATTAAAAACATTCTTAACTGAATTAATAAAATAAACTATTTGACTAGCGCTACCATCGAAATTAGGAATATGGTCATAGTCCTCTTTGCACATGCGATAACTATATGTAGTCATTTCTTCAGTATTATTTTTTTATATTCCTATTTCTATTAATCAGTATACTAGTTTTAGTCATAAAAGTCTCTAACCTTGGTTATGAAGTCTTCTATAAAGCAGCAGCCGGTCTCAAACAAAAAGTTCTTCTGCTCTGATGAATCCAAATAGCATGACGAGGAAGTTAGTAGTCTTCTTGTTCCCCTGTTTCCCATTTCTTCGGAGAATATGGTAAAGCCGTTCTGGTGCAAGCCTACTTCAGAGTACCTGTTATCGGGCGCCAGTTAAAGATTTGGGCTGGACTTTTGACTTTTTAAAAAGGTTTATTGAGCAATTACAATAGCTAAACTATACTGACTATAAACTATATACTGACAAATGATAGCCAGGGAGATGGCGTGTGTAACGGCTCAGAGTACAGAGAGAGAGAGAGAGAGAGAGAGAGAGATCAGCTCATCTTCGGGGTTTATTTACCTTTTATAAAATGCTGATACTGGAATTAGCAGAATCGTATGAGGTGATGTCTGAGTGACGTAATTCAGGGCTATAACTCTGCTCTTCCTCGTGGAAGAAAACAACTACTGATTCTAGGTGATCTGCAGCGATATTGCTGCAATTACCTGCACTGTTTGTGCATATGGTTGAGCACACTAAGTAACTTCTTTGACATTCATAATTTATAATTTTACAATTAAATCCATTTCTCAGTGCAAGTACAAGTAATGTAATAGAGGAATAATATTGGGATTTTTGATGGGGAGATCTTTTTTTTTTTCAGGGAGCGGGGTAGCTCAGTGGTAGGGCACTAAGCATGCGGTGCTCAAGGCCCCAGGTTCGAATCTCGGCTCATGGCAGAAAATTATTTATTCTGTTTCATTGGCTGGGGGGAGGGGAGCGACCCTGGGGTAGGGAGACCCTCCTGTGGCATACCCAGCCTCTATAAAGTGGTTACCTTTAATTAAATAATTGATTAATGGGAGAAAACCTGGTGGTTAAGCGTGATCTTGTCCCGATCCCCTCCCTGCACAACCGTAGGCATTGAAACAGTACTTTCCTTAAATAGTACTGAACCCAAGACCCTTCATGGGTTGTAGTGATATGTTTTTTTTTTAATATATTTTTTTCAGAATTTTGCTTCCACCTTTGTAGAAGAGAGTAGAGCTCACTTCAGTTACTAGTACTGGCGGGAGGAGCTGATCCGGCAAGTGGGCCTTGCTGTAGTCCTTTTTTGCCAACCCATAAAGGCTAACTTGAGGTGACTCTGGGACCCTCGACCCAACAGGCTCGTCCCTACCGTCCTCGGGCCTCGTATACTGGAAGTGTACTAGTTATTGTGCAATTGTTTAAGTAAATTGGTAAGTGGGGTAAATTAGCTAAATTATTACCTTCAAATCTGTATAAGGACAAGAAAATTATTCACTAGTATTTTGTAATGCATATGAAATTAATTTGATATAAAGACCCATATCTTCTTTTACTTTCTTTAAAAGAGAGATTTTACATTTTCTGTAAATAAATTAAATTTTTTTGCAGCCTGTAAAAGCATAATGCCATAGTTAATAACGTTAAAAGACCTAATGTTGATTTGTCTAAATGTTTAATCTACAATAATGAACTTTAACAATAACATTAATTTTGAAGAGATTAATTCTAAAGGTATAGCTTATAAATTAATTATTAAAGATTGGTTTATAGTGAATTGTGATGTTAAAGTGTGGCTTGCAAACACTTCCGTTCCAGAAGTTTTCACTTATTTGCTAAAGGAACAAGTAGTCCGTTAATTTTTTTTTAAGGTTAAAAAATGACAGTGAATTAAATTAATTTATGGCTAATAATTATGTTATTAATATAATGATTTTTTTGTTAATGCATGATCAATAAATTTATGACAATGAATGTTAACTTGTATCAACATTTCGAATGTGGTGTCATAGAAAATTAGAAATGAATATTTTTGTTACTAATAAGAACTAATACTAATAATTATTACTAATAATTACCCATTCCCGTAATTTTAATCTTCTTGATTTTTCTATCTTCGAAATCATGATAGAACTTTCATCATGTTTTCACAAAACTCAGCAAGTAATTGCACAGCACGTCCAATGTTCTTCCATATTTGAATTCTTTTTATTTTGTTTCTTTTTAGAGGTTAAGCTGGGCGAGACATGTAGCTCCTAGCAATTGATTTAGAAGCCTCTACGTAACAATGAATACCTCAACAGAACGCAAAAGACCACGTGTAAGGCCGATAAGCAGTTGGGTAGGTAGAACCAACAAGGAAGCAATAGATCTACTTGCAGATGAATGGAAAGAAATAGCTCAATAAAAGTAGAGATGGAGCAGGGTTGTTAAGGCGGAAAAAGAACTACGTGGTCTAGAATGCCAACAGAAAAAAAAATATTTATTTTAATATATTTAGAATCTCTAACATTTCACAATATAGGTTATTTTTGATGTAGTTTGATAAGTAGAATAAACAGAAGCAGACATTTTTCGTCCGTTCACTTCCTTTCAGTTCAGTCAAAAACTGACAGCCACCTGAGCGCTCTAATATATACGTTTACTGTTGCGTATGTTCGGCATGTAGCGCAGAGCTTATCCACTTGTTACACGATTGGAGCGCGTTAGTTCGCGAAAATAGTGAATACCTGCCTTAGTTATGCTTAGTTATGTATCAGTAGTTATGCTTTGGATTGGAAACCGCTACTACAAAACTGTTATCTATTCGTTTTATACATCTTTGCCTAACATCTTAATGAAGAAACTAATCATTAGTGATCTGGACTATCATGATTTAAACCTTAATCTGGTTCAAACACAATTTAATTTGTTTTAAAAATATATCTCTATCAGTTTTTGGTATGTTTTTACTTTTTTATTCAGGACTACATTTAATTTCTTGTTAACTGTTTTCGAAAAATGACGTTTATTTTGAATAATGTAATTTTGAGTAATTTAAACTGCAGAAAAGCGTTGGTAAGATTTCATCATGATATAAAAACAACAAAGTTAGATAGATATATTTTAAAGAATGACGTTAACTTGAAACTTTTGAAAAATGTCATCCCTTCCCTGGGCGTTTTATACAATGATAAAAGACAATACTCCACTACTGAGTCAGATGTCACAACTCCTCTTGAACTATTCAATGATGAAGAAGTTCAAGATTTAGTTCCTAGGAGTTTGAGACAAGCCTGTATGCCTCATCAAGTGTTCATTGTGCATCCATACATTAAATGGGGTCCCAAAAAGAAGCAGGATACATCTCCTGATCTGCAATTAGAAGAAGCAGTTTCGTTAATAAAAACTCTTCATGATTGGAAAATAGTTGGTACAAAGAAAATATCATTACTTTCGCTTGATAAACTGTCGCTTTTCAATAAAGGCCAACTTGAAACTGTTGAAAATTTAGTGTCTAAAAATCAATTAATCACAAGTGTTTTCATAAATATTAAATCTCTTAAGATAAACCAGCACTTATTCCTTGAGAATCTGTTGGGTGTTCCAGTTTTTGATCGTTATTCCATTGTGATGAATATTTTTAAAAGGCATGCAGTGACTAAAGAAGCTAAATTGCAAGTTAGTTTGGCTGAAATTCCATTTATAAGGTCACGGATTAGAGGTATAAATGAATTGGAAGGAACTAATTTCATTAAAAATACAGGGATAGGCTCTGGTGAAACCATCATTAGTAAACGTTTAACAGCACTTTCTTTTTATGAACAGCAGATTAAAAAATCTATTGAGAAATTAAGGAAAAATCGGGAGTTACTTAGAAAAAAACGTAGGAATATGGAATTTCCAGTAGTAGCAGTAGTTGGATACACTAATGCAGGAAAAACTTCATTAATAAAATGTCTAACTGAAGAAGAGAAAATGAGTCCTGAAGACAAATTATTTGCTACTCTTGATGTAACTGTTCATGCTGGTATATTACCTTGTAGTTTAAAGGTATTATATGTTGATACCATTGGGTTTATTTCTGATTTACCTACAAATCTACTAGAACCATTTATTGCAACATTAGAGGATGCCATTCAAGCTGACTTAATTATTCATGTTCAGGATATTAGTCATCCTGATCATGTTATGCAGAAATCTCATGTTTTGAAGACTCTAGAGAGCTTCAACTTGAGAGGTGGTCTGATCCAAAACATAATTTCAGTAGGTAATAAATGTGACAAAGTGCCAACAAATAGTAGTGTTGATAACGATCTGGTCCTCACTTCTTGCACTAAACAAACTGGCCTAAAAGAATTAGAGGAGAAAATTGAGAAAGGGGTCATCAATGCTTTACAACTTCAAAAAATTAGAATCAGGGTAATGAATGGAGGTAGAGAATACTTTTGGCTTCAGAAAGAAGCAGCAATTTCTAACTGTTTCACTGATGATAGCAATCAGCAATATGTTTTTCTTGATGTTATTATTAGCAAAGGAAATTTAGAAAAGTTCAAAAGCTATTTTATTAGGAAATAGGTTATTGGGTATTTTTTGTTAACTACTACTTTCCTGTAAATATCTTTTTTATTATATATATAATTTTGTAACTTGATTATTTCTTTGAAGAAATAACACATCTTAAAGGACTGAAATTGGTGTATATTATCTATTTATTTATATAGTATATTTGTTACAGAATAAAATATTTATGGCAATCATTTCTGAAATCCTAATTACATTACATGCATTTGTCTTATTCTGAACTTTGTAACATCTTAAATGATATGAAAAGCTAACCAAGCTTCTGGGAAAAAATAACCCATCACATCACAGTGTGGATGTTTTGTTAATTTATAGGATTTTAATTTAATAAATTGAAGTTGGGTAAATTGCATTAAGGCTGATTTGGCGGGGTTGGCTTTAGACAGAGTCTGGTGGATGGAAGAATGTGGACATCGATTAATGGTATCGCCATCGAACCTTGGGCTTTGCTAAGCCTTATTATTTAAGTTGATAAATTGCAAAAATACTTTTATTTATGGAAAATGTCATTTCCATTTTTTTTTTGGTTCTTGATAAATATTCTTGTGGATTTCTATCATATTTATCAATGCAAAAAAACAATATGTATGTGTTTATGTTCGAGTGTTTCAATATGAGACAAACTCTGGTATATTTAAAAAATATTTCCACTAACAAGGGGAGTACAGTCAAGCAAGTCACTGATTTCAATTAAATTTAATTTGATAATACTATATCGAAAAATATTGGATACCTGTTCCGATGTTCATTCTAATGGGCCCTAGGAGCTGAGAAAAATAAAATATATACTTTCAAAAAGAATTTATCTGATTTATTTTTGCTTTTGCTTTATTTCATTTTTAGGTTATTATATATCAGTTAGGAGTAGAGTAGCTCAGTGATAGGGTACTGATCTTCCAATGCTCGAGGTCCTGGGTTCGAATCCTGACTCATGGCAGAAAAATTATTTATTCTGTTTCATCGGGCCAGAATTTTTTTTTTATTTTTCATCGGCATAACCAGCTCTATGAAGTGGGGATCCTTAATTAAAAAATTGATTAAAGGGAAAAACCTGGTGGTTGAGCATGATTTTAGTCAAATCACCTTCTTATACAATCATTGACTTAGAAACAGTACTTTCACTAAATATTACTGAAGACCCTTCATGGGTTGTATTGGTACAGGTTGTATTTTTCTGTTTTGTTTTTAGCAATTAATTTCTTATTTTGAGCAGAATAAGAAAAAATATTTATTTACTTACTTTTTTAAAAATTATTACAAGGGTTTAGCTAGACATCATCAGCCTAAATTTTAGATAACTATTTATATAGATCATTAACTAACATACTTTATTTTTTATAATTTAATCCCTATGGAGTTCGCAAAGTGAGGTGAGATAAAGCTTCCAGAACAGAATTAGAGTTGGTTAATATTTCAATGTAAGGTGGATGTATTAACATTGTTTGATTGTCTTAACATTGATTGTTGATTGTCTTTATTTATCTCAAATTAAATCTAATTTATAAAATGGTATCTTTCTGCAGCATATTTAATGCATGACATCAATATATGTTTCAGGTCATCCTTAACTTCACACAATTTACAGTAGTCTGTATCTTTTCTTTTAATCATATGTAGGTACCTGAGATAGCATGATTAATTCTCAATCTATACATTGTTCTGTTTATTTATTTATTTAATCTTTATTTGTTTTCAGGGAAGAACCATATAAAAATAGAATCTATCTGTATATTATTAAGATTATTAACCTTATTGTATTACAATATATTTTTTTCATTTTTATGCTACATTATAAATATTACAATAACCTAAAGGATAACTTAAAAATCACATTTATTAAAAAGTCAAATAGTTAAAACAATGCCAAATATCAACATCAGTATAAAATCTAAAATTATCAATAGAACACATAACAACAATAAATAAATTTTATGCTTTAAATATTAATATCAAATCATATAATAAAATTAAATTACCAGATCATTCATATAAACAAAGAAACAATCAAGAGAACAAAATCCAAACAAATCCGCTCAATATTTATCGTAATCCATACCAACATCCAATCTACATTTTTATTACAATACTCAGAGGACAATTTTTTAGATTACCCCACCAAATCTCTATAATTACCTATATTAGAGATGAAGAAATATAATTTTCTCACATCTTTTATAGTGGTTGGCTTGAATATTTCGATCCCATTAAGATTTCCAAGATTGATGACTTCTACACATTGTTCTTATCCAAAAATCTACACATAATTCTTATCCAACTTCTAGGAGCTTTGCTGGTTCCATTGTTACCAGTGGGCAGTGAGATTTATAAAATTACCATTTTTCTTTTTTTTTCATAAATTTCCTACTGTCCGATCTTCATAGAAATTTTTAATTTACTTATTATGTCTGAAAAATGTATGTGATATATGTCCAGCTGTCTTTTTGTTGCTTCCTTCGCTGAATAATCCGCCAATGAATTGCCTTTAATACCTTAATAATCCACCAATGAATTGCCTTTAATACCTCATCCAAGCATCAAATATAGCAGTTTTTCCTTGTCTTACAATTAAATGAATTTTTCCCAAATCGAGATTATTAAATATGATTTCCTAGTTTTTTTTTTGTCACTTAATTTGCCAGTTAGAATTAAAGTGCTATTATAATTTCTGTCCTTAACATAATTTAGAGCTGCTAATATCATTGTCAATTCGGCCTTGTAGACTGAAGTCTTTTCTTATAAAAATATTGATTATGGTATTAAATGAGTTATAATGTTTCATAAATTACAAAAACCGAACGTCACTTCCAGGCCAGTAAATTTTTATTATGAAAAAGAAGGATATGTTCGTTTTTATTACCCTTTAAAACTCTTAAATATGAATACTTATTAAAAATGAATTATCAGGAAAAAAATGATTTTTGATAGTCAGAAATTTCAAATTTTTCTACTTGATTTTCTTGGAGGAAAATTCCCCCTCCCCCTATTCATAACTTAAGCATTAGTCCAATCATTGAGTGCTTAAAAAGGGGATATAGAAGGTGATGGAAAGGACACAATATTTGACTTTGTGTGACTTAAACGTACTATAACTTTTCATTCCTAGGTGGTGAGCCGGATGTGGGGTGGGGAGAGGGGAGGTAGAACAACCAAAAAGTCACCTTTTTCGATTTGAGCTTCTATTAGAGGAACCACCCATAGTAGCAATAAACACGTTCTATACAGTATTGATGATATTCATTTTTACACTATTTCGCATAGTTTCCGAGATATCCTTACTCATTAATCGCTGATTTTGAAAAAACAAATGTTTACCTCACGTTTTTATCTTTTTTTTTTACTATCCAACTCTTTTCTATTCATTTTACGTAAAAGTCATGCGGAAGAAAGTTGTTGAGCATTAAGTTTTCGTTAATATAGGTATATATTCGTATATATAAAGTGAAAGAAAAAGTTTGAAAATTGTAATTATCAAAGTGTGGAATATAAAATTTGGCTATTCTCATCTGAGTAAACATTTTAAATTTTAGTTAGTTTTGATAACAACTATTGTATAGATATAAATAATAAGCCATATGTTAAAAATTGCCAATTTAAGAAAATGCATTAAAAAATCTAATTTCAATATCTTACAATAATAAAGAACACCATTAATTTTGATTGTTGCATAGTTCGTCTCTCCATTCCGGAGAAGTACCTGCGTGGAGACGAGAAACCATAAATAAAGAAGTGTATATAATGTTAACATCTATGTTTTATAATTACATTATATATTATAATTTTTTTTCTTTCTGTTCACATTATTAATACTTACTGATATTTTTACATAAATTTCAATAATCTGTTTCTTCTACTTCGGTTTAGAGCTCATGAGATGTCCATGGATCAACATTTGATATCGTATATGTTATCAAAGAAGAGCATCTTGATGTGATAAAACATCGAAACATTGACGGATTTTTGATAGGAAAATGAATAGATGTAGATTTGTTCTATAAATAAAAATTAGTTTTTCATTTATAAACAATTTTATTATTTGTATCAAACAAGAAAGGGTGAATGGCAATATCGTAGAATTTATTTACAAAATTATAATTTACGCAATTTCGAAGACTATTAAGTATCATATTTTACTTATTTTTAAACGTTTCACCTATTTTCATTTGTCTAGGAATTAACAAATATTTGAACAAACAATACAAAAGAATTTGTTTTTCAATGGTCCATGTGTTACTGAAATAATTCTTGATATGATCTTTGAGGATCTTCTAATTCTGTTTGAGGGCCATTCCTAACACAGTTGCCTATATTTCTCTCTATCCTGTACTGCATTGTCTGAGGAATGCCTAGACAGTAGTTGAAGTCCTTTCTCATGTTGAGCACTATTTTCTTACCTTCCGCTATAAGCGGTGCAATCTTTTCTTTCAAATAGGATATTTCATCCTTGAGAGACTTAATACTTTTGTAATAGCACGGTAAGACCTTGAAGAAACTCATCTCGGAGCAATTCATGGCAGTGCTCACTGATGACCAGATCTCGGTTGTAATGTTATAGCTGTGAATGGCGAACTTCATACCGAAGAGCACACCGTCCTTCCAATCCCCGGCCAAGTCCAGGCACCCTTCCAAGTTCCATTGGCTGTAGAGGTTAGCGTGTGCCAGAAGGTTTTTGTTGAGGCATTGTTCTGGAGTTGTCTTCAGCTTGGCCAAGAGGTAAATCTTCTGTTTTTCGAGTTCCGCTTGCTTCGCTTCCAGTTCGGCCACAGTCGCTTGTATTTCGTCATTTAAGTTGTTTATTGGTTCCAGTAGTGGTGAGGTCATTTGTTCTATACGATTTTCCAACCAGCTGCCATGGGCTTGCTGTGAACATAAAATCATTTTGTATTATTACAAGTTTTTTCATAAATAAATATTTAAAACAAATATTTATTTGCATAAATGATATTCATTATTATAACTAATTTAAGTTAATGACGATGAGAGTAGATGTATAAATTTAATGACAAAAAAAAAAAAAAAAATGAAATGGTATGACTAAGGAGTAAGTAAAAGGGTAATTTTTACTCCGTTGAGTCGCATAGATAAAATAAATGTAATACTTTAATGCTAAATCAAATACTATCTAATCTCGACATTATTCCATAACGTGGATCGCTATGTCTATATTGGCCTTTATAAAAAAATATGGGAAAAGCAATGTTCTTTTATTATATCAACTAAAACTAGGTGGTAAAATTAGAATATTATTATTATTCTTTATATACCTCCTACCTATTACCATTAGTATACTACTTATAATCCAAATAATCCATTACCTTTCCCAATTGAACTGAATGTCAATAGTCATCTACACATACTGTAACCTTCTATAATTAATTGGTGAATTAATTATAGAAGGTTAAACCCCCTGGGGGAGTGAATGGGTAGGAGGTTCTACGATTCCGGTAAAACTTAAAAAGAATTTATAACTAACTTTGTATATATTTTTTAAAATTGAAATATTGAAAAAAAAAGTCATCATGTACGAAATAAAACAGTATACATCATGCATGCTGGTATGTGTAAATATAAACCCACATACGCATACCCGTGGCTTAATGTAATCCTTAAGTTTTCAGAAAAAAAGCCTTGAAGCTTCATCAAAATGTTGAATGATTATTTTTTTGAATGCACCTCATCTTCAGATGCACATACATATATGTAGAAATATGGTAGCTCTGAGCACAGATCACTTCAGCGAATTCTCTTCATTTCTTTCTTTCTTTCTTTCTTCTTTTCTTTTCATGTTAATGTTGTCATGTTATGTCTTTAACATATTAGCTTGTAACATAAGCATTTTTATAATATTTTTATTTTAATTTTCGTTAATTTAATTTTCGTTAATTTAATTTTTAATCTTAATTGGAAGGTTAATTTTTTAACACAGTATTTAGAAACGTATTGAGCAATATGAAGCGAATCCAATCTAATGAAAACTACAATAGCAGCAATAAAAATATAAATGTGGAGCTGCAGTAAACACCATGTCATTAAACACCCTAAAGATAATAAAAAATTACTCAGTGGATGAGTAAGGCACAGTACTCATCGGAGTTATCTTGTGAATGTTTATTTTTTATATAAAGTTGAATATTCTATCTATCTATATCTATATATATATATATATATATATATATATATATATATATATATATATATATATATATATATATATATATATATATATATGATATGCCACAAAACTTAAGGTGGTATACTGGTGGTAGCTGGTGGCAGTCTAAGCATATGTCTACCTTTTCTTTTTTGAAGCATCAGAGGATTATTAGGGATTGAAGAAGAAATAAGGTTAGAAACTTGAGACTTAGGATGGATCTGAAGTTTATTATGGAAGAATAGGTGTTTGAACTGGGCCAAATCGGAAACATAGGAAGCATTAAAGTCGTTATGGATGATTTTATGCAACAAAGTCAGGAGCATTGAGGATTTTACACAAAAGATTTTGAATTGTGAGGAATTCAATGGTTTAATCATGTATTATATTATTTATTTATTTTATTGTATTTAGATATATCAGTCTTTTGTAATTAATTGGAAGCTTAGAGCGTTTGTCGAGTAAGTGGTGAAGTAGTCGGAAACGCTGAGCGGTTTCTTGTCATTTCAGTCTGGTATGAGAATTCAAAGTGAGATGTTTGTCCAGGTGGAGTCCTACTTATCGGATTTGTCCAACTGGTATAAGTGGGTTATTGCTAAATGATATTGTAGGGCAGGCAGCAGAGATGGAAAAATGCTACTCTAAGTACCGAGGACCAAGTATTTTACTCAAATTCAGTCACTATTGGGAATTAAATTACTACTTCAGTTAATCATATGACATCAACTGAATTAGTAATTAAATTCTTTGCTACTAAAAAAACCTCAGTATTTGAGTAAAATATTTGGTACTCAGTACTCAGTACTCAGAGTATCATTTGCCCATCTCTGACAGGGAGTCAAAGGTTTACAACGAAGATTATAGGTGATTTGATGGGATTTATTGGAATTTATTTTAATCTTCCAGTTTTGACACTGTTCTTCAAGGTTTGTGGTGTGTGATTGAAAAGTTGGTGATGCAATTGATGGGTCGTGATTAACTGATAAGACCCATGTGTCATCGGTGATGACATTGTTAGGGTGGGTTAGATGTATAAACTGTGTAAAGGATAAGACCTAGAATATTAACTTGACCACTCAAATTAATATATATATATATATATATATATATATATATATATATACTTTTTTTTTTCATTTGTCCATGGATTGATTGAGGGATCAAGCTAAACACTTAAATAGCCAAAATATGTTCTTTTTAAAAATTATAATATATATAAAGCTACTAAATGCAAGCACGTTTAAAAAAAAAAAAGTCTGCCAATGAAGGTCAGTATAGCTTCCTCTTCGTTTTCATTGGCTAAAAAATATCTATATTACAAGGTCTAAAATTTTTAGCATGAGAGTAAAATCTCTGAGAGAAGCCTGTTTGAAAATTCAGAAAACCCTCAACACATAATGATATGATATCCAAGAATTTTTTTCATCAGCGAATACTAAAATACGAAAAATGTCCGCATATGCAGGATTGCATATTTGATAACTCGGTATTGAAAAAAAATCTAGTGCATACATAACCTGAATATCACTACTGTTAGTGCAAAAAGTCGTATGTAAACATTGAGTTTTTTACAGGAATGCATAAAAACTAATTGTTTCGATATGATTTATTGGTATAATTTCATAATTTATTGCCCTCAGCTCTTTTTCATCGCAGCAGAATGCTTACGACCTTTTGCATTAACAGTAGTAATATGTACTTGATCGGCATGTTTTCACTCGTTAAATCGATGTTACAAAAGCTCCATAAGAGAACCAATAATTTATTCAGTCAAATCAGAACTATTTAAGCTGGAATATAAAAATATATGTACAATATATATAAAAGGAGAGGCACCAAACATAATTTCAATAAACTATACCACAGTAGAAGACTGGGTACACGCAACAAAAAAGCAGTTGTTGGAAAATTGGGTAAATAAATGGAAAACTAAACAGTCAAAATTATTAGAAATAAAAACAGACTGCTAAAATTGGGCTAGCACAAGAATATCCAGAAGAGAAAAAACTATGTTGTGTAAAATACAAATTGGGCACTGCCTGATTACTCACGGATACATTCTCAGAGGTCTAGAAGCAGCCACGTGCCAAAAGTGTGACAATAAATCGCAATCAGTAAAACATCTGTTATTAGAGTGACACGGGTTCAACAACATTCGGCAAAAATTGAAACTACCAATAACAATGAAAGAAATATTAAGAGACAACGAAGATGGAGTCACCACCCTATTCCGATACTTAATAGAGACAAAATATTACAATAGAGTATAGAAAACTAGCCGCCAATGACTAGGGTAGAGGCGATTACAAATATATATATATATATATATATATATATAAATATATATATATATATATATATATATATATATATGTGTGTGTGTGTGTGTGTAAAAATCACACATAAACTCGATACCACGAGGAGCTGGTTGAACTGTAATTGAAATAAACACAATCACAAATAAGATTTTTCTTTTTTCAAACAGAGTAAAAATTAATTTAAATTTATTGAAAATTACACTAAATCTAAGTAACGTTTGGAATCGACGGAACAATACAGTATAAATTAGCTTTTTGAATAAAACCTAAAATTTTATAACTCCATAAAAATATTGTCATAACCTAACTCCCACTCCATATAATCAGTGCCGTAGAAATTTTACTGCCATTATATTGTTAACAATTATTTATATTAATTTTAATTATTAAATGGAATTCAATGAAATTCATGTTAGGAAATTTCTATACTATTCTCCAAATTTTCTCCAAGTTTGGATCAAATTGAACGCGCAGTTTTAGGCTTGCAAATAATACGTTTGCTGACCCGAAAACGAAAGTATTTTTTCTAGAAAAAGTGGATAGAATTTGATAACATTCATAACTACTTGATTATCTGTTTACCAATCCCTAATGCGGTTTTAGAGATATAGACGTATCAAGGAAAGCACGTTTGCGCATATATACGAGAAATTAGTGGACATAATGCAATAAAATTTACTCTACTTTATTTTGTCACAAATACCTACCTTTTATCTAACTTTGACCCAAATCGAACGAGCAGTTTTTTAAATATTGGCATATTTACAAAAATGCGTTTGCGCCAGCCTAAGCGGAAGAGCTTGATGGAATTTGATAAAAATGATATGGGACCATCTAGGCACCAATCCGCATAATCTCTGAAAATGTCATAAAAATCGGATGAACGATACTATGTGATATGCCCGTCATATAGATTTGACTACAGACAGACATACATTGAACCAAATTTGATCTTTAATGTCTAAAACGTTCCGAGGCGTCTGAAAAGAAGATGGCCCCGTGATCTCCTAATGTAGTCATATCATTAGAGTGCTACCATTGGGCAGTTACTCAGCAAGTGTATTCATGCCATTATATCTATTATGTCCAAATTTACTAGATGTATTTATGTAATACAATTGTAAATGTCATTAAGAAATAAAATAAAAAAAATAATAAAAATGTCTGAAACGTAAAACGCGAGTAGAAATTTTTGATTTTGAGCATAAATTATTTTTTAAACCTCTCGCACGAACACAAGGCTTCTCTACCTTCGGTGGTGAGGAAGCAATTTATAAATAATTTATCTCTTAAAGTTGTGGGTTGGTGGTTGACTGCAGTGAATAATTGATAATAGAAGATAGGTTGGAGTGTTCAGTAAAAAGAAATTTAAGAATAAGTAAATTATATTT